TCATTACCCATTCAAGCCGTCTCCAGCCATTATTAGTCTCAAAGTGGGTTCCTCGTCATCGAAACTAAACGAAACGTAACATAGAGATATTATTCTCACTTATGAATTATCTCGTGTTAATGATCTTATCCTTACACACAGTAATTATGCTCATCTATCAAAAATAATATAGTCATATTATTATTGCACGTAGTTTTATTCTCAGTTGTTAAGTATCCTGTGTTAGTGACATTATTTTTTAAAGATTCATTCTCACATATTAAGTATCCTGTATTAGGACATGATCTTAACGCACGGCAGTTATTCTTATTTGTTAAGTATTTTATTTAGTGACATTATCTTGCGAATAATTTGTGTTTACAAGATAATATCACTAACACAGAATACTTAAGAAATGAGAATTATTACTAGATGTAAAGACAAAATGACTCAACGATAAGTGTTAGGGCTTATAACGCTCAAAGTCGTAGTAGACAGAGCACATATTTTCCATTATGTAGCTTTGTGCCTAACAACAAACAATAACATTTTGTACTTTTAAGTATTCTATGTTAATAATATTATGTTTACACACGTTAATTATTATGTATCCTGTGTTAATGATATTGTGTATTTATTCTCATGATTTAGCAGTCCAGTATGATCTTCACGTTAGTCCGTTTGTTATTTATCGCTAGTTCGTTAATCCATGTTATTGGTAGAAATAGATGAGCATTATTAGTTTTGTGTAAAACGCTTCAAAGTGAAATCCTGATCAACGAGCTTTTCAAGTGTCTGTTACTTCATGTCACCATAGTTCTGAAGTCGCGGTTTGTTTGTTTTCTAGGTGGGTGACATTTTGGAAGATTTAACGAGAAATACATTCGCCAACCTTGATTATGGGAAGAGTTCCTTCCTTGTGACCACCAAAACTCAGGGATTCGGAAAGTCTGTGGAGCTTGAAACTCAGTTGAACGGTGTTAGTATTTCACGTATAAATGTTGACTTCGTTAAGTAGTTACACAAGCACAAAAGGTTTATGTTGTATGTTATGTATTACTGAGAGAGAGAAAGTTCCCTTTCGCAATAAGGTGAAACGTGTTTAACGTAAATTAGATGTAAGAGTTTCACAACTATGGATATTAATTCTTTGAAATATTTTCAAAAGAATACGTCACCATAAAACTTTTCATATCGAAATTGTGAAGTGGTTACGTCATTGCAAATAAACTGTCAATAGTAGCCTTCATAATTAGAACTGATAACCTGTCGATTTTTCAGTGATAATTCTGAGGGCTTATAATTCTAAAAATCGGGTTTCGATGCCAGCAGTAGGCAGAGCACAGATGTTCATTGTTTAATTGAAAAGGGATCAAGGGAGCCGAAGACCGCCTGGAGGGGTCACCTGCTTGAACCACTTGCATCATTATATAGTAGTGTGTGTCTGTCAATCAGTCAGTCAGTAGACACTAAAATGACGTCACTTAAGGGATGCTGAATGTTGCAATTTGTACTGTCCTGACGTCAGTAAAAAGTGCGCATGCCATGAATCACGACAAGAACTATACACTCTGTAGGCTACAAGAAGCATGACATATGAACTTCAATAGCAAGAAATAAAAATATTTGTTACTCTTAACTTTGGTTTTATTTAGTCTTGAAAGAGAGAACTTTCGAGAACCCTGCGGAAGTACCACTAGTGTTTAGAAAGTCTTCACCTTAGATAACTTTCAATGAGCAAGATGCTTCTACCTTAGATAATGAACTTTGATGTATTGTGTCGGTATAGTACACACTATATTAATATTTTACCATACACAGCTTAAATTCGATATCATCTGCGTTTAGTAAAATATTAATATAGTTTATAGTCAAGTCGGTATCATCTGCATTTGGTAAGATATTAATGTAGTGAGTGCTAATATTTAATAAAATATTTATACAATGTGTCCTGAAGCTGATATCACCAGTTTTTGATAAAATATTAATATAGTGAGTACTGAAGACGGTATCAGCTGTGTTTAGTAAAATATTAATATATTGTTTACTGAAATCGTTATATAGCGTGCTTAGTAAAATATTAATAAAGTGCGTCTGAAGTCAATATCAGCTGAGTTTGAAAAAAAAACATTAGTATAGGGTGTACTGAAGTCGATATCACCTGTTTTTGTAAAATATTAATATAATGTATACTAAATTGAGTATAATGTGGGTGTCGTAAAATATTAATATAATATATTCTGAAGTCGGTAAAAAGTGTGCTTGGTAAAATATTAATATAATATATTCTGAAGTCGGTAAAAAGTGTGCTTGGTAAAATATTAATATAATGTATTCTGAAGTCGGTAAAAAGTGTGCTTGGTAAAATATTAATATAATGTATTCTGAAGTCGGTAAAAAGTGTGCTTGGTAAAATATTAATTTAGTGTATACAGAATTCGGTATATGGTGTGTTTTTCAAATATTAATATAGTGTGTTTTCAAATATGTATGAGCTGTCTTTTGTAAAATATCAATATAGTTTGTAATGAAGTTAGTACAGCTGTGTTTGTTAAACCTTTAATATAGTGTATTTGAAGTCTAGATAAGGTGTGTTGTTAAAATATTAGTATAGTGTGTACTGAAGACGGTATAAGGTGTGTTTAGTAAGATATTAATAAAGTTTGTACTGAAGTCGATATCAGCTGAGTTTGTTGAAATATTAACAGAGTGTTTAGTGAAGTCGGTAAAACATGTGTTTAGTAAAATATCAATATATTGTGTATTGGAGTAAAAACCAGTTTATTTTGGTAAAATATTAATATAGTGTTTACTGAAGTCAGTATAACGTGTGTTTGGTAAAATATTAATATATTGAGTACCGAAGTGGATATCACCTGTGTGTGGTAAGATTTTATTATAGGATGTAGCGAAATGTGTATATATTGTGTTTGGCAAATATACTGCTTACTGAAGTTTGTATAAAGTATATTTGGTAAATTGTTAATATATATTTGGTAGAAAGTGAATTTGGTAAAATATCAATATAGTATGTACTGAAATCTGTTCAAGGTGTGTTTTGTGAAAGATTCACATAGGTTGTACTGAAGTCGGTATCATGTGTGTTTTGTAAAATATTAGTGTATACTAAAATCGGTATTATATATGTTTTGTAAAACAATTCTATATGAGCTGTGTTTGGTAAAATATTATTATTGTTTGTAGTGAAGTCAGTATGAGATGTGTTTGGTAAATTATAAATATAGTGAGTACTCAAGGAGCTATGAGCTGTGTTTGATATAATATTAGTATACTGTGTAGTGAAGTTGGTATAAAGTGTGTTTAATAATAAAACATTTGTATCTTAAAATATTACTATAGGGTGTACTGAATTTGGTATAAAGTGTGTTTGGAAAATTTTAATACGTTGTGTAGTGAAGTCGGTATAAAGTTTATTGTTATTAAAATATTAATATAGTGTGTACTCATGTCGATATCAACTGTGTTTAATAAAATATTAATAAAGTGTGCACTGAAGTGATTGGTACAGTATTAATATTGTGTGTAAGTAATTCAGAAACACCTGTGTTTGATAAACAATTAAGGTATTTTTTATTGAAGTTGGTATCAGCTGTTTTGGATAATATCGTAATATAGTGCATACTGAAGTCGATATCATTTGTGTTTAGTAAAATATTACATATAGTGTGTATTGGAATCAGTATGAGCTGTGTTTGGTAAAGAATAAATGTATTGTTTACTGAAATCGTCATGATCTGTGTTTGGTAAAGAATAAATGTATTGTTTACTGAAGTTGTTATGAGCTGTGTTTGGTAAAGAATAAATATATTGTTTACTGAAGTTGTTATGAGCTGTGTTTGGTAAAGAATAAATGTATTGTTTACTGAAGTCGTTATGAGCTGTGTTTGGTAAAGAATAAATGTATTGTTTACTGAAGTCGTTATGAGCTGTGTTTGGTAAAGAATAAATGTATTGTTTACTGAAGTCGTTATGAGCTGTGTTTGGATAAAGAATAAATGTATTGTTTACTGAAGTCGTTATGAGCTGTGTTTGATAAAGAATAAATGTATTGTTTACTGAAGTCGTTATGAGCTGTGTTTGATATCGTATTAATGTATTGTGGAGTGAAGCAGATATAAAGTATGTTTGGAAAAAGGACAATATAATGTGTACTGAAGTCAATATCAGCTATATTTGGAGAAATATTAATATAGCGTTTACTGAAGTTGATATCAGCTGTGCTTTGAAAAATATTCATTTAGTGTGTACTGTATATGGTATATGATGTATTTTATATTATAGTGTGTGCTGAAGTTGTTATGAGCGGGAAAGGTGAAACATTAAAATAGAGTGTGAAATCGATATCAGCTGTC